CACACCTCCTCCACATGAGCACGAGCCGACCACGGCGCCGCCGGCACTGGGATCCTATCTGGATCCAGATGCCAGTCGTGCGGCAGCGTCACGTCCGGATACGACAGAGGCTGGCGGTTCTGCCAGTGCCACTCCGCCTGGTGCACTGGCACGTTGACGCGCTGCCTCTGCCGGCGAGGCGCCGGCGCCGGCAGAGGTAGGAGGAACTCGGAGGGGAAAGGGGTGGCGGGTGACTTGTCCTTGGCCTTGCTGCCGCTGGCACCGGAGAAGAGGCCCATCTCGCTGTGGTTGTGGTGGCTAGGGTTTGCCGGCGACGAGGGAGCAAACATGGGCAGATGTGGACGGCGAGTTTGGATGAGGACGGCCCCGCCGCACTGTAGACTTAAAAAAGGACGAGCGTCGTCGCTAACGCGTGGACCCGTCGTCATAAATTAAGCTGACCGCGTGGGCAGCGGGTAGTTGGACGGCTGCCATGTGGGGGCGCGGCGGATAGCGAGAAGGCGCGCGAAGCGTCCGTTTGACGTCCGCGCCGTCACATTTGGGGCGCAAATTTGGGCCGCAAATGCGTCGGCGCGGACGCGACGCGGATGTGATTTGGGTTTGTATCGGCGCGTTGGACCGCCACTTTTTTCCGCGCCGACCCAAACGGACACAGCCGGACGAAATGGGTCGGTAGGTGTTCAGCTGTTTCCATCTCTTGCTCGCAGAGACTGCATATATTATCATTGTGTGGCCAACTTCTCGCCAACAGCCGATCTGCCATTCAATTTCTATTCTGCAGGACCAACCAAATTTTATACTCTCTCTGTTCCTAAATATTTGTTTTTCTAGAGATTTCAACAAGTGAAAAAGATGCTCTTTGGTTTGTCCTGGTGCCTCGGAATTTGCATTATTCCCGAGCTAAGCTTTGTCTCCATGACACGGAGGCTCCCAAGCCACATGCGCGCGGCCGGTGCCTTGTTGCGTTGATTCGGATTCCCCGGCCCCGTCGTCTGCGGCGGCGATCTTGGCTGGTGTCCCGATCCACCTGATGAGGATCTTGCACACGGTCGATCGATCGTTCTGTAGACCACATGCATGTGGCGGGTGGGGATCCTTGGAAGCTAGCAAAACCGTTCACGCTCGGTAATTATATGATATCACGTAGGACAGAAATTGCGAAGATGCTAGTGTATGCGTGTTGATGAGTTTGGCGATGATCGATCTGCTAGGATCGATCGATGTCGCCTTCTACAGTACTAGCTAGCTGTGCAATTGGGACTTTGCATTCGTCGAGCTAGTTCGATTCCGTCCGGAGGACGTGTTTTATTTTGGTTCAGTTTCATACCTGAGCCAGGGCACCTGCATCTGGAATATAACCAAACCAAAGCTCCTAATTAATCCATGTGAGATGTGCAATGCTGATGACTCATCACTAATGAATGTGCTTAAAGAACTAGAATTTCTCTCTCTTTGCTAGGGGAATGTCGTTAGTTTTCCATTGTCAGAACCAACCGTGAAGTACCTTTCGTTAACCATACTATTCTTCCTTTTTCAAGATGATATTATATTTTTTTAGGAGGTCAAGATGATATTTCCCTTCCTTTTTTTTACTCTTACTTCACATATTGTTATAAGCTCATAATCTCAATTGACTGTTTTATTTTAGAAAAGGAGGGTGACTCCCAGCCTCTGCATCTAGGAGATGCATGCAACCACTTTATTATTTATTCACAGGATCTTACAAAGTAATAGTACATCAATATGTCTGAAGCCATCATCTTAGTAACATCTGTCGCTACTCCTATCCATTGATGAAGGGGTGCAAAAAGTGTGAGCCATATACCCAGACTTCTCACCTAGCCTAACATCTAAACCGGAGGCTCCGACCAAGCCACATCGTCGGGTCTGGGGCACCAACCGGTATGACACACTCATAGGTCGCCGCCGCCGTCTTCCATCAATCCATCTTCAGAGCGGGTACTGACGCATCGACCTTGCCAGGCCTGCCGTCAACGCCCCCACGGCGCCAGACATCGCCTCCTTCCTGTGCGCGCTTGTCATCACGCATCCTCGCCGAGACTTTGCCGCGCCTCGCCGCCGAGACTCCATGACATCGATGCGTCACAAGGAACGCCGCTCCATCGCAGATGCCTGGTCCCTCGAACCTATGCACACCTCCAAGAATGGCACCCTCAAGAGGGGTACGACACATGAGCGCTCGCGTCATCGGATCGACTAATCTAGGGTTTGCCCCCGGGGTAGTGGATAGGGGTCTAGAGCTTATCCACGATGATGCCTTCAAGAAGGGGGTGACGCAGAAAAACGCCGCCATCACCGACCTTAGCAACATGCCAAGAGTAGGGTTTTCACCCGGATCCGCTCGAGGACCTTCCATCCAGCATCGTGTGCACGAGACCGCCACCGACCACCAATGCCGCACATGGAACAGGCCGCGCAGGCCATATCAGATTTTACTGGAGACAGGCCCACCATGTCGCGGCCATAGTTTTGAGGTCAGATCTGATCTGACTCGCCGCCGCCGCAGGAACGCAACCAGCATACAATGGGCCACCCCTACAGCGTCACCGCCTCGATGAGGACACCACCGCCGTGAGCCGCCGCAGCTGCGCAGCCGATCCCCGTGCCCGCCGACTCTGCCGTCTGGCGAGACCGCCCCGCACTGGCCCTCCCGAGGCGCGAAGAATAGGGTCCCGCCGCCGGCGCGGGTGGGGGAAAGGTGGCGCCCAAGTCGCCCGGGGGAGGGGGGGCGTGGGGGCCTAGGTCGAGGGGAGTTGGGGTGCCCTCCATAATTAATTTGCTTATTACATATCATCTTTGTTTTGTTCAGTGCAAGCCAGCCGAGCTATACCTTTACGCCTATAACTGATTGACACACAAAGATGAGAACAGTATAAAAATAATATGAAACCTAAACAATTTCAGATGTTTTGGACAATTCCAAGGTCCAAACCCTAATAATATACTTGAAGCCCTACATGCTGCCCTAACCACCGCTAGAGGCCCCAAAACATGAGAATCCAACCAAATACAAACCCTGGCTATAGCCTATAGTAGGTAGCAACTGGGTTAATAATTCCAGAGTAGAAATTGCACGTACAGTCTCATCTCAATCATCATGCCATCAAAACCTTTTGGCCCCTGTGCGTGCTCATCAGCCGCGAGACACAAGCCGGAAAAACTTGCGACCAACCGCCATTATATTAATCCCGCTAGGTTTGTGTCCTAACCGACCACTCTAATCGTCGCATCATGCGTTTTCTTTTGCCAACCCCCATGTGTTCCATTGCGCCCGCACTGCAATAGTATTATTCTAGTACTACGTAGTATCCATGCATATGCATGCATGGCCATTTTGCAACTCCCAAAACATTTCAAATTTTCAATCACTTTAGGTTGCAAAAGCAGTTGCCAAACCCGGTTGACCACTTTGACGTGAACACGCACATTCAATGGATCATTCAATGGCTCCTACTAGCTAGGACAGAAATGTGCAGAACTGGAGATTGGATTACCAGTGGGAAAATCAAAGTAGAGCTAGATCATATGTCCTGTGAGTGAGAGATACTTGAGCACTTGATACCATGGCCTGATAACTCCAGGGATAAATTGACATGTGCATGAACTCACATTTTGTTGGGGCCCTCTTGTCATTGGCCGTCTGAAAAGATCTCGTGGCGACGTTGAGTCGGCACGGGCCCGCGTGTCAGCGGCGTGGCTTCATGGAAGCTCTCGGTCGCAGTAATAGAAGCTCTGCTCACCTTCACTTCTTGTGGTCAGGTGATTTTGTCGGATAAGCCTGACAAAGTTAAATGGCTACTTACAAACTCCGGTAGCTTTTCCGTTAAATCTCTGTATCACTATCTTATAGCTAGACAAGTTGTTTTCCCTTTTAAAAAACTATGGAGGATGAAGATGCCTCTTAAAGTTAAGGCATTCTCTTGGTTAGTAATCAAAAATAGGATTCTGATCAAGGACAATCTGAGTAAAAAAGGCTGGAAAGGTGCTAAGTTTTGTGAATTTTGTGACTGTGAAGAGAGTGTGAATCATTTACCTTTCTCTTGTTCCTTAGCTAAGTTCATGTGGAATATTATGGGATGTGCTCTAGGGAGCCAGAGAGCTCTAATGTTTTTTTTCGACTTATGCCAGAACTGGTTGCCTAGCTATATTGGTAAAGATAAAGTAGTTGTTTTATTGGGTACTGCTGCTCTCTTATGGTCTATATGAAAAACAAGGAACAAATCCTGTTTTCAAAGTGTTATTCCTAGAGATCCTACTGACATTATCTTTCTTGTTTGTTCCCTACTTGACTCATGGAAAAAACTGCAGAAAAGAGGGGTGCAAAGCATGCTTCATCAGGTGTCTAGGCGTATCATGAGGGTGACTCGTGATATCTTCAGAGGAGGGCATAGTTTGGCGCTGCATGCGAGAAGGATTTTGTGAAACTAGCCGCTGGAAATGCTTGCTGGCTTCAAATCATTTATGTTAATTTGGTTATCGTCCTTTAGTCTGTTGATACCTTTGTAGCTAGCGTAGCACTAGGCCCTTCCATAGTTAGTTTTAGGCAGTTTGAAGCATCCTGATGCGGTGATATATATCAGTGGTGTGATGATTAGGCTGGATAGGCTGGAGTATTTTGGTGTGGCTTCTAGATCACCGATGTAATGTTGATTTGATGCCTTGTAAACAACTCCATTTTCATGAAAATGGGGCCGTGTGGCCCCTTCAATCAAAAAAAAAAAACTTCACTTTTTCTTTTGTCGAGGAACACTTTCACAAGCTCTTACCGCTTTAGACTGTGCCAAGTTCGCCTGTCGCAGTGTCCCCTGCGTTGACGCCTTTGACAAACAGGTGCACGCTCCCAAGGCTTGTCCTGTTGCCTCCCTATAGCTAGCTCGCCTCCTATATATACACAGCAAAGCCCTGTTCCTACAGCCACCACCAGCTCAACTGCCTCAACACCAACTGCAAGGAACAACAGCAGAGCCATCCGAGCAACCATGATGAAGCTGAGGTGCCCCAACCCCAAGAAGCTCTTCAGGAGGAGCTCCTCCAAGATCAGCAGGTCTAGTAGCAGCTGCAGCAGCAGCAGCAGCGACAACGGCAGCGACGCCGGAGGCATTCGGGGTGGCGGCGGCAGCGGGGAGATCGAGTGGGAGGTGCGGCCGGGGGGCATGCTGGTGCAGAGGAGGGACGGAAGGGGGGACGTCGAGATCATCACCGTCAGGGTAGCCACCGGCTACTCCTGGCACGAGGTCTCCATTGGAGCCACCTGCACTTTTGGTGAGTATTCCTGTTCTTGCAAAGCTAATTTAAAAAAGTTGATTTGATTTGTTTCGAGAATAGTATACGGACATGACTAGATAGTGCGTGATTGGTAGTAGAATGCATGTGTAATGTGTTGTTCTGCGAAAGTGGTTCATCCGACCATGATTCTTTTTGATTGGAGCTTCTCTCATGTGCTAAGCAGTAAGCCCATCTTTATGTGCCAAAGTTGAATGAATATTCCCCAAGCTCTTTAAGCACGACAAAAGCTTGAGGAGTGATCGTGGGAGTGGCATCCATGCACACTGTTTAAGCATTTCTGCAAGAACAACTAGACAGGTTTAAGCATTTTGAAAAGGGAGAAGTATATTTTTCGTCCCTCAACTCTTTTGAAAGTATAGAAATGGTCCCTCAACTTCAAAACCAGCAAAATATAGTCCCTTAATTTTTAAAACCAGATAAGGTTAGTCCCTCACGTTAGTTAGGGTGGTTTTCTGGTGACATGGGGTGGTTTTTAACTCCGACAAGTGCACGGAAGGTGCTCGGTATAATGCTCATTAAGCGGCAGTGTGCTATAGCTACCACCCAGTGCACCGACACCGAGCAAACTCCCACCACGCACCGTGTGCTACAACTGTAGAGTCTATGGCATGTCGCACTTTGACATCAGCAACGTTATCGCGTAGGCGGCATGCCGAGACGAGCTAACGAGATCCTGCTGTCGCTGGCCACATTGGCAATGGCCAGTCCCAACGTGCGCCGGCCGAGTAGCAGAAGCAAGCGGCTCCGCCCCGTTCGATGCCCAGGCCACAGGACTGGACAATGAAGAGGAGCCATGGAACTTGACGCAAACGTGCACGGAATTTGAGCTCCGGCGAGATCGCGCGCCCACCATCCACTACCGTACACAGTCGCCGCCTTGTTCTGTTGATTATTGCTGCCGACCTGTCGTGCATGTGCACCGGCTCCTTGCAGGAGCTTGCGATCCCCGCCCCCTGTAAAACGTCGCCGTGGTGCCCCTCCATCCATCCCAGATACAGCTATGTCAAGCCCAACCACAACATGAGCTGAAGAACGGTAAGTGCAGACCTTGCTTTTATGAGGACCCGCACGAGCGGGCAGACTCGAGGGTTCGTGCACAAGCTCCAGCGACGGCAGTGACAAGAGCGAAAGAGCACCTTTGGGACCTTCACGCCGTTGACCCTGCCTCCAACACTCCAGCAGCTACCACCTCGGCAACAAACACCAGAAGGGCATCCTGTACAGGTCGTCGTTCATCAGCCTCATCATGGAGCCGCCGGCCGTCGCGCACCGAGCCGCACCGCGCCAGCTGCATCTGCCGCCGTATTCGCTCATTGCGCACACTGCGGGCACCGTTGGCATGCCCTGCTTGAGTGTGCCACCTCCAATGTTCACTGCCGCTCGATGGGATTACACCGAGCACCTTCCGTGCACGTGTTTGAGTCAAAAACCACTCTGCATAAGAAGAAAACAACCCTAAGGGAGACGAGGGGCTAAACTTATCCGGTTTCAAAAGTTGAGGGACTAAGTTTTGCTGGTTTTAGAGTTGAGGGACCATTTCTATACTTTTGAAAGAATTCAAGGACAAAAAAATATACTTTTCCCTTTTGAAAAAAGTCAGCACGTCCCTGTTCACACAGCCAGAAGCTCTCAATTTTACTTCCATTTCTCCAAGTCGAGTGGTTGACCCGTGCGAGCTCCTGAACCTTCTTATGGTGATGTGGAGATATGCACGTCCATTAGCAAGGTCTCCTGCCCTCAAGGACATCAAGCTCCGAGCCGCGCTCGCTGCCCAGGGCGTGCAGAGCCCGTATCAGACTTTTATCAAGGTGTAGGCCGGCCCACCTCGCTAGCAGTAGGGTAAATCAACCGCACCGGAAGCCAGTTAGGTCTCAGAAGAGTTACTAAAAGAACTGAACCTGACGCGCGGTGTGGCTCGCTGCTGTTGATCATCAGTACTTGAGTACCACTCCATGGAATGGAAGGGCAAAGGGCCTCCTCGTGTGAGAGTTTGAGTACTACCAGCTTTTAATTAGTTAAGTTAATTGCATGGTTGTGCAATTTGTACCTAGTTGCCAGTTTTAAGTTCTTTCTTCTAGACTAAATGATGGAAGCGCTAGCCTCCCGGAGTTGCAGGTCTAATGTGGCTGTCATGCATCTTAGCAAGTTAGATTGGAGAGCGCAATCTTGGATGGGGACTGAATGGAGTAGTTTGCTACAGGCAATTCTGTTGTGGATGAGATGTATCAAATGTAGTATAATGAGACCACATTTTTTGGGTCCTTTTCTATACATTTGTTCTGGAGGAGTCTGCTTTTTCTTATAACAACTATAGTACTTCCTCTGATCGAAAAAAGTGTCGTGACTTTAATTCAATTCATTTTTTAGAATCACCCCGGGGAGG